TGGCTATGCATGTTATATTACAGCAAAGAAACTGGTTGGATGCTGCCTGTGTCCTGACCGTCAGCTTCAGTGAGGCTGAGCTCAAAATTAATGGATTCATTTGTTTGGTGGAGTAAATTTCAAGACCGGACAGTATTCAGCCTATGGCATGGTTACTGTTTATTGCCCTGATCCAGGTCTATTGTGAAAAGGAACAAAAGGATATGAAAAAAAATATAGTTTGGGTACAAAAGATAGTGGGTTTGAAGTTGCAAACAAAGGCTAGAGAGTTAAGAAGAGACTGTGTTGGCTGTTGCAGAATATGGGTCCCAGCACATTGGGTGGCTCACAACTGCCTGTAACTCCTGCAGGGGATTAGGCACCATCATCTGGCCTTTGTGGGCACCTGCACTCACATGTACATACCCCACACACACATAATTAAAAAGATAAGGTACTTTTTAAAAAGTTGCAGACAAGGAATCTGAGAAAACTGAAAGTATTCCCTGCTAGAAAGCAATCTCTTAGGGATTACTATGTAGGAGTCCATGCAACTGTGATCCAAGTGGGCCAGGTGACAGCCAAACTGAACTTGGCAGTATCATTCACATATTTACTGCTTTTGCTGGGGCAGGGGGTGAGGGGAACAATGTGAAAGTGAGATTGTTATATTGACCTGCACCAAGGTTTCACAAAGCCTTAAGAGGCCAAGCAATATGTGACAGGAATAGAGTCCTTACAAAGAATTCCAGTGAGGCCAGTGCATGAAGCTGTGAAGGTGAATGTAAGCCACAGTCAAGTGTCTAGAATGTTGGAGGTCACTGTGTGACCTCTGCTGAGGAAAGCTGGAGCCTGACCCAGAGAAGCTTTGTGTGCGCAGGTAGAGAGGTGGGCTTACTCAAGCCCTTTAGAGGACAGGTGATTCCAACACAGGCCCCAGATGCCAAACATGGAGCTATAAGATTTGGTGTTTGCTCTGCTAGATTTTAGTCTTGCTTTTGCCCACCCCCTTCTTGCTATGCTCCCATTCCTCCCATGCTGCTTACTCTGTGGCATTGTGTATGGCAAGTTTGTTGCAATGTTATAATGGATCACACTTAAGAGATAATTTGAGTTTTAAAATTTCAGAAGATACCCTGCAATTGAACTGTTGGATGGTTTGGGGATTGCTAACTACTATAGGGAGATTTGAAGTTGCACTAAATGCATTTTTTGAATTTATTTCATATATATATCTAATTTTGTCTTATTTTACATATCAATCCCAGTTCCCTCTCCCTCCCTCCCTACACTAAGTACATTTATATATGGCGATAAACTGATCTTGGCTCTTAGTTGTCAACTTGACAGGATTTATAACAACCAAAGAGAGAAACCTTGGGGTCTGCCTGTCTTGATAGGGTTACTTGTGATGGGAAACCCATCCTAAATGAGAGTTCTATTATTTCATGGCTTCGGAGGGTGATCTAAACAGGAATAAAGGAAGACCAATAGCAGCGCTTATGTCTTTCTGTCTCGTGATTGTGGAGGCAATGTGGCCAGATGGCTCAGTCTTGCTACCATGCTTTCCCTGTTATGATGGTATATCCTTGGACTGTAAATGAAAACAAACACTCATTCTAAAAGTAGCTAATATAAGAGCCAAAGTTACCTCAGGCTGTCTTTGGTCCTACAAGTATCCATTTATCATTCATCTTATGTGTCTGATCTAATATTCTTTCAACTGTCAAGTAAACCCTTTAGACTGTATTAACACCAACTTTACCAAATGATGTCATCGGATAACATTTGAGACTTATAACAGGGATTTTTCCACTCTGTGTGCCAGATGCCCCACAAGTGTATTTGGTAAATGCATTGATTTATGATTCTTTTATCCCGTGATTATGAAAAGTTCAGTTACCAACGTCCATGCTGGATCATGTTACTTGGGACAACCTGGGCTTATATTCCCAAGATATGGTCACTCATATTTGGCTCATAATTAGTCTTGTCTTATTCCCTTTGAGCTTTGTTTGATGTCAGGCCTGCTAAGACCAAAGCAAGGCACACAGGCTCCCTAAGAATGGACCCTTTGCTGTCCTATTTTGGTAATCATAATGGCAATAAATCCTGAACCATACATGCATAATCTCAAATCTTCTCATCAAAACATACAAAATAACAGGAGGTCTGAACTTAAGAATTCCCCTCTCGTTTTTGTTTAAGGGTTGGAAGCAGGTCTCCAAGGAAAGCCAGAATAAGCTGTTCTCTCAGCCAAGTGTTGGAATAGGGTAAATAGCTGATAATGAATGATACTAATGAGCTCCAAGTATGTCTGACAACTAAAATACTAGGGTTTTTTTTTGTTTGTTTGTTTGGTTGGTTGGTTGGTTTATTTTTTAGAAGAGATGTTTTCTTTTGCTTTGTTTTGTGTTGTATCCACACAGGGTACTAGTACAAAGTAAGTACTTAATTATTGTAAGTTCAGTTTCAATTGCTAACTACTATGCTCTTTCCATGTGGTGGCATTATTGCACCCAGAAAAGCTGGAACATAGGTAGGAATTACATTAAGAGTTTAAAATGCCATCTGTCTTTGCCTGGCACTAGCAGCAGTAATAGTCACCAGGCAGTCCCTCCATGCGTCCCTTACTGGTTGAAACATTGCTTCCTAAAGCAAGAGGATGCTTAGAAGACTCAGGAAGTAAAGCCCTCACAAGTCTGGAAAAGGTGAAGCCTACTTGATTCAGGAATCCCTTTGGACAAGTGCTAGGAGAGGCTTGGAGCTGTAGAACTGCAGGTCACACACACAGAGATCCAGCTCTGCAATACTAGAACTGCCTGCAGAACACACAGAGCTCCAGTTCTGCAAAGCTAGAACTGCCTGTAGGACACACACAACTCCAGCTCTGCAATGCTAGAACTGCCTGCAAGACACACACAGAGCTCCAGATCTGCAGCTTTTGTAGGTTTCATCCAGTCTGGAGTGGGTTATTTAGTGAAGGAGCTGCCCCTGTTCCTTTAGTAAATTCACTGGCTTTGCCAAGTTGGACTTGGATGGAATTACTACTTTCTCTTTTCTTTGGTCCCTAGATAAGGTCAGTAGACATTTATCCACATCTTCCCATGAAGCGTCAGTCATGGGAAGTCAGTTGTTCTCTCCAACTAGACTCTTACCATTACACATCCATTCTTTTGAACATACTACTATGTCCTACAAAACATTTTAGAGACTATACTAAGGAACCAACCAGATGACTTGAGCCCAAGAAACACCCTACAGGTGTTATATTGGGTGAATTGCAGGTACTAGTGGCCCTTAGAAATGTATGGAGGAATGACATCCCCATGAGTTATTTATTGATGCTCAGAGAGAACCTCTCTAGAAACTACTGTATCCCTGGAGCTAAAAGATTTTTTAGGAATCCAATTCATATTTTCCCCAAGGTTCCTTAGTTTGGCCAGCTTCACACAAGCATAATGTTACTTGTTTGTGAAACCTGGAACTGGAGTTGGCAACCCAAACTCCAAGCCAAAATGTATTAGGCTTTTTGCACATGTAGTAGTCAAATTGAGAAACCATGTATCTTATAGATAGAGGGCAAAGCATAGGACTCACTTGAGGACTGCCCTTTTAGACTCTACTCTGCCTGAATGTGGAAACCCACAGATCTTTAACTTTAAGCTGTCTTTTGCCCTGGAATTGTGGGAAACTCCTGGGTACGCTAAGTTTGGTGGAACCACATGGAAATGGGATTTTTACTTTTGACATATTTTACCAGGCAGTGAGTGGAAGACTACTATAATTCTTAAAGCACACAACAGGTTTAATGAACCCAACATGTGTTTCTTGGCACCCAGAGAAATTGGTTTTGTTTGTTTTGTTTTGTTTTTTTAATGCACAGAGTTACAAACTTGTTTGAAAGCTCTAAACTGGAAACCTTGGAGTAGCCTGCCATCTTCAGGATAACTAACCAATTAATTCAGAGAACACAAGTTTTTGAGTCTATCACATCTACCAATACATTCCCTATAGCAATCACCAGAGAAATGTTTCATAATAAGTAAGTGAGAACATTACCCCTCTAGTGTTTTTTTCCCTATGACGGTGCGGTCTAATTAATAATAGTCATTTAAAAATTACACCCCCAATTTTTGCTTTAAATTGGTTAGATACAACCAATCTGTTTCACTTAATCAAACAGGCTAAGAATTCTAATAATTTTTGCAAGCGTGATCTAGGAAAAATATTATTAATTCAGAAACTTATTTTCTTGTTGCTGGATCAAGTGTTGGGTCAATCACAAAATTTCTTTGTGGGTCAATTTCACAATTTCTAAATAATCTTAAATAAAATCAGTATGAGAGGAATCCATTCGGAAATGAAAAGGAAGAATTGAAGGGGGTGGCAGAGGAGGGGAAGGGAAGAAAGAATGTTTATTGTTTTCCAAATACACTATTAAAACACAAGTTACACCAGGGTTGTTCAAGATTATTGAGACTGACAGAGTCAGCGGAGGTGAAAAATAGGACTAAGAAGAGCAGGATCCGGTGCTCATGCAGGAATGTGTCAAATTATTAGTAAGAAAAGAAAGCCTAAAATTCATACTTAGCATTCAGGTTAATGTGACCGGAAAATGAGTGTAAAGATAGTGGAAGAAGAAAACAAAACTATAGAAAAGCAGCAGAGAACGAGGAGTCCTTATTTTCATTTGTCAAAAGCAGAAGCGAGTATGCTCAGAACCCTCTGCACCGTGCACCCTCTGAAGAGGTTGCGAGATCGATCTCTGCCCCACTCTCTCAACCAGGAATTTTGCACGTGAGCGGTTAAGTGGACTGCTGTAACAGCGCTGAGTCCCTGGCAACGCTGCCGCGCGTCGGGCACATGCAGTCCTCCCGTCCGCCAGGGGACGACAAGCGCGTCCTCGGCGATTTGCCCGACGCCTGACCCCGGGCGTGCGCATGCTCCGCGCGCACAGACAAAGGTCACCCGGGCCGGCGTGTCCCCACGTGTGCGGCGAGCCGCGGGCGTCACGATGCAGAGATGGGGGCTCGCCTGAGTCGCGCCGTCAGGAACTTCAACCTGGAGAACCGCGCGGAGCGGGAGATCAGCAAGGCGAAGCCCTCAACGGCTCCCAAGCACCGGTCCACGCGCGGCCTCCTGCACGAGCAGCTGAGTCGTGAGTGCCACCCCTCCCAGGCGTCCCACGGTGACATTGACGTTGTCCCCGCGCGGGCCCCGGTGCTGGCGGCTGGGATCCCGACGCTCGGGGCAGTGCAGGGCGCGCGCCTCGCCTCTCCCCGCCGGTGTTTACCCCTAGCTGTGCAGATGATTGTTTCTTTAAAAAAAAAAAAAAAAAAATTAAGTCGTCTTACGTGTTTACGGATCTAGAGACAAGATCCTTTTTAAAAACATCATTATGACCTTTTTTTAAATGTTTTCTTTCTGTCCTTAGAGCATCCAGAAATCAAAGAAGAAGTTTATAGGAAAGATAACAAGCTGTTGTCACTGCTAAAAGATGTATACGTGGAGTCCAAAGATCCGGTGTCTTCCTTGCCGGTAACGTATGCTCTCTGATTAAGTAAACAGTTGGTTTGGGAGATCTGAGGAAGTGAGCAAGAAAAACAGGGCAAACGGTGAAATGCTGTGCAAAGTGTATGCGGTGGTGGGGGCGGGGTGTCAGGGGGAGCATAGGGCTTGGGACACAGGGCCTGGCTCATTGGATACTCAGGGAATGCCTAGAGACCAGTGAAGGGACTGGTTGAATGCACCTGTGTGAAAGGATTATTGCAGTTGTAGGGTTTTGGTTTAAGATAATTTTAGAGATTAGCTAGGTGACAAACAATGACTTTTTGAGTTCTTTTCACATCTGTAAGTTAAGATGTTCTTACTTAACGACAACATCTGTTTGGGGGACATGTAATACTATAGGTCACGTTAAGTGTTTATGTGCAGTGGTCTTACTCTGAGGCGTGGGATACTGTGGGCCACAGGCATGAAAACGGGTGAGCAGCCGAACAGCTAACAGTGTTATTACAGGACCTGGAGGAGTAGGGGCTGCTTTTGAGGAAGTGACCTTTGACAGAATCAGGGAGGCAACCATCAGATCAAGGTGCAGTGTTAGATTGACTGATGGGGACGTAGGTGCTAGCCACAGCTCTCAAAAGTTTTTTGCATTCTAAAAAAATTTTTTGTGCTGCCTGATAGTAGGCAAAAGACTGTACAATTACAGTTACTTGTATAATATTACAGTTCATAATTTAGTAGTGACTGTAGGATTTAATTATCACCAGATTCTCACTTAAAGATACATGATTGATGGTCATAGTGTGTTATTTTTTAAGTTGACACTGAGCAGTACTTAATAAATTACTGTTTCTCTTTTATGCTAAGCATGTATTTTTGTGATTTTATGTAAAGGTATTTATTTGATATTATACTTGGTGTTTAGTCTGTGGAAGTGATCAGTTTAACCTCTTTAAATAGATGCCAGTCATCTAAACATGTAGCTTACTTACTAAGTCCTTTCCCTACTTCTATTTATAGATGTGTTGGTACTGTTTGCCTTGCTTCTTACCACCAGACCCAGACTATCATAATAATTAAGCATTATAATACGTCTGGTGACTATTGTGACCTAAAAAGCTTATTTCCTCAAATTATTCTTTTTCAAAATGAACTTGGAATCATATTGTCACTGTCTTTAGTAACTCTTGTTTAGATCAGGCTATAATTAGATTAGGATTTTTTAGGTTAATTAGAAAAAGTTTAACATCTTTTAATTGTTGAATCTTTGATGAAGATAGGAAAGTTGTTTCTATTAAGTAGAATTTTCATCCCCTCTTTTTAATGTGTGGGGAAATGAGTGAGTTTTATTTTGTATAGCTACCCATATTACTAGTTTATATTTCTGCTGGGAATTGGTTTTTCAGTTGCTTATGTCTTAATATTTTATGTCTATGTGGAATCTATAATTTCCTTCCTTTCTACTAAATGAAAAGAGGATGTTCAATTTTACTTAATTTTTTTTTTTTTTTTTTTTTTTTTTTTTTGGGTGTCAAAGGATTAATATGAAATACTGAAGGAAAAAGGAAAATCTGTTACACATGGAATGGGAGGTAGATCTGCCTGGGTTTGGAAGATGAGAGACACTTTGAGATTTAGAAAATGAAAGAGTAGGGATGAAGTCCTACTCAAATGGGAATATAAAGGTGGACTGAGTGATACTATGGAGACTGGTTAGAGTGTACATGGTTAGGGGAAAGTGGAGGATGGATTTGGATTATGGTTGGATGGTGAAAGTACATGCCCAGGAATTTTATCAGGAGGATATTGGAGAGTCATTGAAGAGGGTAATGTGGGGAAAAGCGGTGTTAGATTTGAGAGTGATCTAGGAGGGAACAAAATTATGTAGTTAGAAGAAACCTGCTAGATGTCTTTTAATGGTTCATTCAAGTAACAGTGGCATGGTTTAGAGAATGAGATCAAGAGAGACTTGGAAGCTATTATGAACAAGGTCTGTTCATAGAGTAATTACAGAGTTTTAAGCGTGGACTTGGAAGCAGGTTAGATTGGTAGTTTTTGTATTAGACACTCTGAAGTTGAAGTGTATATAGGTTCATGTAGAGATGCCCTTTAAGCATTTGGGATTTGGGGCTTAAATATCCAAAGAAAGGTCTTGGTTTGGGACCATAGATTTTGACATAATTACATGTGGGCCACAATAGGAGGTAGGGAGTGGGTGAAGATCCAGAACTCAAGGCCAACCCGGTATACATGACACCCTGTCACACACAAAAAAAGAAAAGACAAAGAATATATGGTTTGAACTTAATGAGCAGCAGAAGGCACAAGAGCCACAAGGAAAATGGAAGAAACTCTGGAAGTATGGATGGAAAACTGGAAAAGAATTAGCATGGCTCAGGGGCATGAGCCTTGGTAGTTAGGGGTATAGTTGGACATTATAGTCAGCAGTGTCAGGTGTGGTGAGTTGCTGTAGTTATTTCAAATAAGTTCTGAAGAGAACCCCTGAATAAAGCACCTGGGGTCACTAGGGCAGATTTATCATTTAAGCTTTAACTCAAAGAGATCTTGGCTATGAGTTTTTTCCATGTTGGCCAAGAAGTGGTATAGGCAGATGCAGTAAAAAACGGATGACTGGAACAGTGATGAGCTGTGCAAAAACTGACCAGAAGCCACTAGGAGGAGAAAAGGTTCATTTCATCTGACATCTGTAGGTAACAGTTCATCAGTGAGGGAAAGATGGAAAAGTTTTCAAGTCAGCTGTCAGAGCACTATTAGGATATTGCTCTTCTGTAACACATGTTGTTTTAATCCAATCAGCTCTCTTTTAATAGAAGCTGAGATTTCCTTACCTGAACTGCTTAGGACCAGAAGTCTTACACATCTGATTTTGGAATATTTGTAGTACATTCTGAAGCATCTTTATGGTATCAATTTTAATCACAAAATTCATTTATATTTCATATACAACTTACAAAACTTGAAGGCAAGTTGAGGGGTTCGTTAGTCTTAATGTACTTGCATTTTGACTGCTGATCATCAAAGGGAGTTAGATATGGGATTTTGTACTTGGCATCATCGTGGAGTTGAGAAGGGGTCTAGAGCTTTTGGAGTGGTAATGCACAGTGGAGGTGATGGCATGCATTGTCATAATTTTATAGAGCATTTCTTAATTATGGCAACCTGTAGTTAGGAAGAGACAACTACAATGAGAAAATAGTTTGAGGAAGTATGTACATATTTATTTGAAAAGAAAACTTAAGAATCATGGGTGATGTAAATCTATATCCTAAAGGCCTTTTTCTTGTGGTACTAGGTTAAAGATGTTGAACTACAGCAAGAACCAAAGGAATTCAGACTGCCGGTAGGACATCACTTGGATAAGAGTGTCATGGACATTCCCAAAGGCAAAATTTCTGTTGTAGAAGCATTGACACTTCTCAATAATCATAAACTTTCTCCAGAAATGTGGACTGCTGAGAAAATTGCCCAAGAGTACCATTTAGAACTGAAAGATGTAAATTCTCTTCTCAAATATTTTGTTACTTTTGAAGTCAAAATCTTCCCTCCTGAAGAAAGGAAAACAATATCATCAAAATGAAGACCATTCTAACACTTCCTGTGTGTGCTCCCAAGCTCTGTCCTGGTTTTAGTGTATTAAATTATACAAGTCACTGTGAACTGAGCGTCCCTACTTGGAGTGAGCACTATTTGACCTCTTCAGGATTGGTCATAGAATGTTTTGTTGTTGTTGTTGTTGTTGTTTTGTTTTTATGTTCTTGCATACATGTCAGCATGGCTAATCCCATGTATACATTTATTACATGTATGAGAGGTAATGTGTCATTTTAGACACATTACCTTTTTAAATTTATCATGTGGCTCAAATCATTTAATATTAAGCTTCACTTTTCAGTTCAGGGTGGTTTATCCTCTGTAGGAGATGCCAAAAGCAAGAGCCCTCCTGACTTCTGTAAGACTGGCTGGCATTTTGTTAGGGAGAGATTCTCAGCAGTGAGACATGGTGACTATTTCCCAATAAACTGAGTACAAAAGTGGAAAAATATTACCACTCCAAAGACTGAAAATTCATAGGGACTTTTATGTTTTGAGTTGGTTTTAAATATGAAATAACTTTTTAGAAGAATTGGTGACAGCTATAACATGTTAACAGTCTCTCTTTTGACAAATAAAAAGGTAACTTCAAAAGCTTTCGGAAGGATCAACAGTACTTAGAACTATTTCAACAAATAACTTCATCTAATATAAAAATATGGGCAATATGTAAGGAACTGTTAAAAATAAAAGGATCCAAATTTCATGATCAAGCATTTATACCTGTTTTCATTCTGGGAGAGAAAATAGTAAACAAAAGTATAAAATAGTAGTCCCTGAAGGGGCTGGGGAAATTACCGATTCTTTCACCTACTTACTCAGGAGCATAACACACTCCAGTAATAGAATATCAGATGAGGTAACATGCTGCGTTATGCCTGTAGGTTCTTAACTATATTGTTTGGACTCTGTAATTGAATTTCTATAGAGGTATAATGCTGCCTTGTGTAAATTCCAGGACAATGAAGATAAATGAGAAGGGACCAAGCAAATACAAATTCTTGTAGTTAAAATGGGTGGCTGAAGAACATATGACTGAATTGTCTGTAGCTTATGATACAAGGAGGCCAGAATTTAGGTTTTGAAAATCCTGCTAATATTTTTATCTGTTATGCCAAAAAGAAATACCTTTCAAAAGGACAGAATGGAGTTGGGGATATGGGATTGTACATATTCTTTCAAGGGAAGACAGATTTCCTTTGAGATTCCCCTGGAAATGATGTGGGAATTTCTGCATGGTGATATAATTAGGCAGGAAATGAATGGAAGTTTGTAAGCTTTTTTTTCAAAGCAATACCTGTGAATGAACTGTACCTAGTTATCTGTGAGAACATGCTAATACTAATCAGTGCAAAATTGCATTTGAAAGTGCAGTCAAAACCATCCTCTAATTCATAGTGAATGCTTAAACACTAGTACTGCTACTTTTGACTCATTTTTCCTGTGTGATGAGGCAGATGTAAATACGGTTTCTATTGTATTGAGTCACACAATAAAATATTTCCATTTTACATGGTTATGCTTTTTGTTTCATGTAGAACACTAGAATGGTAATGTTACCTAAGTTGCATAGATTTTACATTTGGGATAATGGAGTTTAGATTTCAGTTCTATTACTAGTTGTGTCTGAATTGTCCTCAACTCTAAAACCAGCAGTCAATTGCAAATGCTTGAAGAGTGCTTTATGTACCAGGTACTAATCTAGGTGCTTTACATGTATTAATTTGGTTAACATTTATCGCAGGTATAAAGTTCAGAATGTTTTCCTGGGAAAGTGGCAGCCCAGGAAACTTCAGTAACTTCAAACATTAGTGGATGTTGAAAATTAAACAGAATATTTTGTGCTGACTGTTACACTGGATTGCCATTTTGGAGAGTGTAAGAATTATGTGAAATATATGCAGGTTGCTTGGGCATAAAAGGCCAAGACTCCTCAAATATAGACATGTTAGCCCATTGTAGAACTTTGGGCTAACATGTCTACACCCTCTCTATTTGTGAGAGACTTGGCTAGCAGAATTGAAGTTGCTGATTGGTTGGATTCTAGATCAAGGATACTCTGAAAATGACCAGTAACTAACGCATGCTGGTACTGGTACCAAGTGACTGGTGGCAGGCACTATTTGTGTCTAATGTTTATTTGTGAAAGGTGAGGAATCGGGAACTGAGTTTGAAGGAAGGGGACTGAATAAGGAGAGAAAAAAGAATGCCCAGGTTTGTGATTAGTGAAAACGAGCAGAGAAAATCTGTTCATGTAGAAGCCTGCAGTTGGTTTAGTAAAACTCTAACATTAAGAGATAGTTTATCCAAACTTGGGCACAGCTATTGGGAATACCAACCACTTAGTGTCAATAGTCACATAGATAAACTCACCCAACCACAAGGACTAGATTTCAAAGCCATCTGGGTACCTGATGTAACCAACTTAACCATACCTTTTATTTTGTGTTTGTGTGTGGGTGCCTTATTGTGTAAGCTAAGCTGGCACTTAAACTCCTCAATCCACCTGTATCAGCCTCCCAAGTACCATCCTTAGGTCCATCACTCATAGCTGCATGCTTGGGCCAGTATCTAAATACTCAGAAATGGACATCCTCCTTTCTGTATTTCCTCAATGGCCTTATTCATTTTCTTTGGTCTGTATTTATGTATGCTAAATAGCTATTTATTACAGAACTTTTTGGTGATGAATTCTGTGAACAGTGTCTGCCCTCTGGTTAGCCACTGGTTAGTATTAACAATAGAAGTAGACATGGATTCAACTTGACTTGACCATAGCCATCTTCATTCACAGTTGCCATAACTGCCCAGAATAACACTGGTTGATTTTTCTCTGTGATGGTTGACTTCTATGACTAGAACCTGGCACAAATGAACAGATCTCTTCTAATGCTAGCTTAAGATAAACCAGATATGTTCTGATTTGGATGAAGTCACCTTTGATCTGACTACTTTTATAAGCTATCTTTCTTATTTATGTTATAAGGATCCCCCAACTGATGTCACCAGTAGCGCATAAGTCCCCAATAAACTGTACTGCAATCCTTGAAAAGAGAAGTGTGTTGTGGGTTTGTAGGGACACATGTCAGAGCCTGTGTATGGAGTTAAGAGGATAACAGGTGAGTTGATTCCTTCCTCCATGTAGGCCCCAGGGATTGAACTCATTGCCAGGTATGATGATGGCCAGTGCTTTTCCTTGAAGAGCCATCTCACTCGTACTGATTTTTTTTTCTTGTTACATAACACTATGACACTGATTCTCATACACTAAGACAATCGGTGAACCAGTCGATAGACTGGTGAAATGAGGGCTCTCTCAGAATGCTCCCTGGGGCCCTAAGGCATTACTGGTGGTTTTACCAAAGAAGCAGTGCTCCTCCCCACTTACACATTTGTTACCAATCTCCCTGGTCTCTAAAACATACCAAAGAGAACTACCTATTAGGGAAGGTATTATAACCTCCCCACATCCAAGCAGGTAATAAATACCAGACAATACAAGTTTTCAGGTGACATGCTGTGATCCATATAAGAAGTAGTGAGTGCTAGAATTTGCCACCTGCCCACCATCCCTACAATAGCCCAGACTGGGTAGTGAAAAAGCTTGATGGAAGTTTGAAAATGACTTTGACTACAGGGTGATATGGTGGTATCTCCTATTCACGCTGCAGTACCTAACATTACTAAAGAAGTAGAAAAAAATCATTCTCTTCGTTCTGTAAATGCTGTCTGAAATTGACTGATGCTTCTTTCAACAGTGCCTCACTACACAGAACCAGTTTGTCTTCTCTTGGGAGGGAACACAATGTAGGTATTGCCTCAGGGATATTCTCACCATCCTACTGTCATAGCATGGTGGCTTGGAACCTCTCTGTTCTCATAACATGCTGCCATTAATATAGATGATATCATTGTTAACAGGGAACAATTACTGGGATCAGTAGAATGGTTACATGGTCATTTATGCATAAGGCAACCGACTGCCAGCCCCTAGAGTCATGGCCCTGAACCATCTGTGGAACTTTCATGGGTGCTCTTGTTGGATAAGACCTCTGATTCCAGGTGCAGAGAGATATAAAGTGTAAATCTTCCTCATCCCTCATCTCACTAAAGATGTGCAGGCTTTTGAGAGGTTCCTAGGTCATCAATGGGCTTCCCTTCCTCATGTACCTTTCTGCCTTTGTAACACTATCTGAAGATTAAGAAGGGAGCCACATAGGACTGGTATATTCCTCCAGCAGAAAGCATTTGTAAAGACATTTTTACATGCAACTGCAGCTAAAAGTCACTAGATGGCATGAGTTGAGCTCTGGCCGGGTAGCAAGAACAGAAGTTCTGAAGTGTTGATCACTTTCTGGGACAGAGCTGAAACTAGATATATCCTTGTACAATATCAGTTTCAAGCAGTGTACGGTGGTATTTAACAGGTAGAGCTAGTTAGCAGTCATAATGCAAACTGGCCTTCCTGGCACACTCTTGTTTTACAGACACCTGCTATAAATGCAGGTTTACAACAAAGTATGTTTTCCAGGAGCTTATTAATTTGTTGTGCTCACCCTGGAACTGTGTAACAACCCTAGGTGGCCACCTCAGGGCTATGGATATAGTAAGTGTAAGAGAGGGTAGCTGCTTGGTATCAACATGGGCCCCACAGAGGGAACTCAGCATCTGTCTACTGCTGTAATGAAAGCTGTCACTGGTTTGATTTTAAGCAGGAGGAAATCAGAACAGCTAACATACACAAGCAGCATGACTGATGATAACTCAGAAACATGGACTCTTCTTGTTTGTACTGACAATTGTGGAGGGACCTGAGACTTTACACTTTGTGAGTACTGTGTGATATGGAACAATTATAACTGTGTCTAAGACTTTCCTAGAAGAAGAGTGAGTTAACCTACTGGTGGTATTCAAAGTCTAGAAACTTAACATGTGATATAGATACTCATATTGTTTTGAAGTGACGTTAGCTTATTTCATAATATATGCTCCAAAGTTTGGGCCTCAACACATGGTATCATGCGTCACTTTATTTGCTGTATATGACCAAGCAGCTGAATTGGTAAAGTGAAAGAGAAACAATAGCATCATGCAACATTAAAGCAACCAA